AAGCTGAGATATAACTTAAAAAGGCAAGATGAGCAAGCAATCAAAGAAATTGGCAAGTGATTGGAAAGGGTCTAGTTAGGAATGTGTATTTGTTCTTAATGTTTTTGTTTTAAGGAAATAGGACCAAAGCTCTTACCTCTTTCATCTCTGCCTGTTTCTTCTCCAAGTTGTCCTCAACTGTATTTCTTCTCAGAAGAGACAAAATAGAGAAACTCCAAGCCCTAAACTAGCCCCAAGCTGCTGCATTCTGTCCCTGGGTTCATGAGCAAGGCTAGGTTTCCTCCTCCACCACCCTTGGTTCTGGGCTACTTTCAGTTCCTGTTTTTATTTTAGAAATGGGCCAGTAGATAGATGCTGCAGTGTTTTCCTTCCTTGCCAGTTGATGGCTTTTGCACTTGTTCCAAAGATTAGGTTTATCTAATAAGTGTGGAAACCATGGACATGACCGTTTTGTTAATTAAGGTGGGAACATTGCACATGACCCTTAGTTTAATCATAAGAATTAATCTCCATATCTCAGGTATCTATCATATTAAGATTTACACTATCTCATATAGTCATTGTAAAACAGGCATTTTACCCTTGGGAAGTTCAAAGACACCCCAACTTTGCCCATTCTCGTGATGCGAAGGTTTTTGTTTTTTTTTAATGGCAGGAATGAAGGAATCCAAAGTTAGTGTTTCATTAGCAGTAGAAAAGGGAGTGTGGTGAAATGAAAATGTTTACTCCTAATTAATAGAAGACTGCTGTTCCCAAAACAGAAAGAAAAGGAGGAAAAAGTTGCATTAGTGCATTTACCTTGATTCAAGAGAAAAAGCAAGGAATTAAATAAGATCAGAATCTGGAAAAAGGGCTAGAAACGGTCAATGTTCTAGACATGCTTGATTTAAGTGGAGAGAACAAGGCATGAAAAAAGAGAAAAGAATATGACAGGAATGGATGCTAAAATAGCTGTTGGATAATTTAATAGTCTGCAGAAGGGGTTGAAACCTGACTGAGCACAAGCTGCTTACTATGACATCCATGAGTATATAAGACCAAGGACTCTTGATAGACACTGACTAGATACACCCTTGGGCTAAGCTGTAATGTATGATTTATGAATGAATCTCCTATGGCTTAGTATTATGTATGAATGGGGTGGTTGTGGCTTATTCAAAATCTTGTGTATCCTATGTATCCTGCAAATAAGTTATAGATCAGATAAAAATATTTTTAGGAAATCTGTCTACTTTCACCTGTAAACTTTTGTAGCTGATTGTGGGATTCTAGAACTCTACAAAAGTTTTTGGGTTTTTTGGGGGGGGGGGGGTGTTTCTTTTTTTTAATTTTATTTGCCTTGACCACATTTTCAAGACTGCCATGAGGCTTGCCTTTTTTTTTTTTTTTTT